ATGATGTTTTTAACTCTTTGAGGAAGAAACCTAGAAGTGAATAGCTAAGTCAAATGGGATTTCTAGTTTTAGTTTTGAGGAATCTTCATACTGATTTCCATAGTGATCATACCAGTTTGCATTCCCACAAACAGGGGAGGGTTTTCTGCCCTCACTCTCTTGAAAATAACCCCACTGTTGAATCCCACTTCAGAGGGTAGAAGGGTTCTCTGCCCTCACTCTCAGCTTCTCAACATTTGTTATTAAACTGTGTGATCTTGAGCTAATGGGTTAACTTTTATTTATTTACTTACTATATTTATTTTTTGTTTTTTGAGATGGGGTCTTGCTATATAGTTCAGGCTGGCCCTGACCTCACTATGTAGCCCAGGCTAGCCTTTAGCTCATAGCATCTTCCTGTCTCAGCCTCCTCAGTGCTGGAATTACAGGTGTGCACCACCATGCCCAGCTTGAGTTAACTTTTAACATCTATTTTCCATCTGTAAAATGGGCAAGTACATCTCTTACAGTGTCATTTAGAGGATTAGATGAGATTTATACATACAACACTCAAAATACGCTATGGGATTACTTTCAAAATATCATACAGAGTAAATAAGTAGAAAAAGGTCCCCAAATGAGACACAGTTATAAGCGTAGAAGACAACTGTAAGATGCCATCACAGACAGCAAAACAAAACAGAAAACAATCTCTGTTTCCCTAGACTTGCATTCTGGAGCAGGGAGAGACCTTCCCTGAAGGTTATACATAAGTCAGCCTGGAGGTGTTCCTGACACTGCTGATATTAGGAAATGAATAGGCCGGTGTAAAGGAATGGGGTGCAGGGGACTCGGCCTCAGCAGGTGTGAGGGGCCACCTTGCTGAGAAGGCGTCCCTAGAGCAGTGCTCTAGGCTCCTGGGGAAGAAGGTGAATTGCAGATGGAGCCAAGGGCCAGAGCAATGGCCCCCACTTTCTCCTTCACTGCATTCATTTAAAAGCAAAGTTTTCGGCCCTCTTTCAAGGATCAGATCTTCTGTAAGAAACCCAAAGTATAAGGATAGAAAGCTGGGTCTTCTGCAGATGGAAGGGGATCCAGAGAGAGAGGAAAGGGGAAGAGAAATAAATAAAAAGAACAAACTCCACTAAGTGCATGTCCCTAGCCCCAAAGGTGAATGTAGTTTTATTTTGGTTATGGTTATCTGGAGTTCTATATGCTTCACTGATCCTGATGTCAGTTTCCGTTCTCATGTTTGGGAAATTTTCAGTGATTACTTCTCTAAATATCCCCTTTATGTTGCCCCCTTCTTTTTCATTTATCCTTATCAATCTTATGTTGTTTTTCTTTGCATCATCTTGCAGCTATTGAATTATTTCTTGATTCCTTGTTGTTTTTAAAAGATCTTTCCTTTCCTGTTTGCTAGCTGCAATCTATCTTCAAGGACTGAAATTCTATCTTCACTTTCATTGAGGTGGTTTTTACAACTTTCAGTGGAATTTTTGATTTCCTGTATATCTCTTTGCATCTGCTTTATGTATTCTGTTTGTTTCTTATATTTTTCATCCCAGGATTTTACCTTTTTGTTTAGTTCCTCCAATTTTTAACTGTATCTTCTTTAGGTATGTTCAGCATCTCTTTCATTTCTTTTATCATTTCTTCTTTTACCTGGGAGATTATTTCTAGTTTGAATTCCTTTAAAGCTTCTCAGAGTTGCTTCTTTATTCCAGTTGCTATTATTTTCAGATATTTCAGGTGTATGACATATTTTCTTCTACATACATAGCTCCTGAGGTTTCTTGGGATGGGCTGCCGGTTTGAGATTGCATTTTGGTCTTTTGCTTTGTCATTTTCCTATGTTTCTGTGTTTCAAATATTGTTCCAAAGCTTCCCCTGGATGTGTTGGAAATCATCTTCTGTACCCTAGGCTCCTGGGACTGAATGGACATTGTTGAGCCTGGTCCAGTTAGGCCCTTAGCCCTCCTGTGCCACCTTCAGTGTTCCAGGTAGCTAGGCAGGCACCTACCCACTGTGGATGATGGGTTAAAGCTCTCTCTGGGCAAGGACCAACGCCCTGGAACTCACTTCACCTGCTCTCAAATCCCGTAATTGAAGAAGGTCACTGGGCTTAATATAGTTGGTCCACAAAACCTCCCAAGGCTAGTCTAGTGTGGCTGGGCTCTGGGTGGGTCCTTGAGCTCCAGAAGAGACGATCTTAAAGTCTCCCTGGGCTCAGGGTGGCACGCGGACTCACTCCAGCCGCCAGCTGAGTTTCCCGGTTTGCCTGAAGGCAAATGTAAACAAGATGTGAACAGTGTTCCCTCTCTGAGTGAGCACCCCACTCCCCGCCATCGCCACACTTAACCTTCTCTTCTTTGATTGGAATGCCGACTCACACAGGGAGATTTATTTTTACAGGGCAGAGAATAAGTCTACCACAGTACGCAGCCCACGATGTTTTGGTTATTGTGTCTGTTATTTTCAAGTAACAGGAAGACATTCATTTTTAAAAATATAAAAAGATAATAGTGGGGTTTTAAAATTCTGGGGCTTTCTGGCCTGTTCCTCTGAACCCTTCACCACATTGTACAGGCTGGAAAGCTCTCTGAGAGCTGAAAGATAGTCTCAACTTTGTCTTCTTAGGTTTGATTATGCAACTGTTGCAATTTTAAATGCTTAAGTATCACAATGTACCAGGCGCACAGTATTCTTAGGAATGAAAGGAGCATCTTCCAGTTAAGTCTGAGAGCAGTTGGTTCCACTTTCAAGGGAACTTTCTGTCTCTGGGCCACAACACTAAGGTCTAGTTCCACATCACCTAATGAGCACCTTAGCGACACAGAGGACAAGGCTCAGCTGACAAAGCTGAAGGCTCATCTTTGCTGGTGTACAACAGCCCCTCAGAGAACCACAGGCAAGAGAGAGCAGCTGATGGGCTGTGCGCTTTCAGATTGGCAAGATAGCAAGCAGGACGAGATAAGGGTGGCTTTCAGGACATCCTTAGTGACCCCCCTTGGACGTACTCTACCTGAACTGGACCTTATTTCTTTTTAAAATGTATTTATTTATTTATTATTTTTAAAGAGGAGAAAAACATAGTAGGAACAATGATACAGAGTTTCACAACAAGATAACAGGAAATTAATTACCAGTGATTGATAGATTGTGTATTGTTGTCTTCAAAGTGCTTTGAGTGGATCTGATTTTTAAGAAAGCTTTGTAAAACTCCGGTTGTATTAACAATACAGTGTCAAAATCAAGGCAAAAGCCAACACACTGGAACTCAGCACCAGAGAATCCAGTTTACAGTTCTCAGTGCTTGGTTCTGGCGGAGTTCGTGTACTCAGGGAGACGGGAGGCAGCGCTGAGATGTAAAGGGGAGACACTTCCTGCCTGAAAAAGAGGGGATCAAGGCAGGCAGCTCACAGAATAGGGACCAAGCCTGTGGCAGAAGAGGGGCCGCAGTGGCAGATGGCTGTGGGAACAGTGCTTCACCCAAGTTTTCTGTTTGGCTAAAATGTGTTTTTCCTTGATGCTTTGTATGGGTGCTGGACTGCAGAATTGCTTCCTATCATCTTTCTCTGTGAGTGCTGTGGAGAACCATCTCAGTTTATGGTAAGTTTGGGGATCGCCTTCAATACAGTGAAGTTTTTCACGCTCCAGTGGTCTTTCTTAAAAATAAAGATTCAGTTTATTTCTAAACAGGGGTATGCGGTTTTCTGTCATTCTCATTTTCCTTGGGATTGAACTCAGGGCTCTGGGCATGCATAGGCAAAAGCTCTACCGTGATTAAAACCCTGCCCTTGATTCTCTGCCTTTGTTTTGCTTAAAAATGACCACGTGGGACTGGGTACATAGCTCAGTGGTAGAGAGCTTGCCTAGAGCATGCAAGTCCCTGGGTTTGATTACCAGTGACACAAATGAGAGACAGAGACAGAGAGACAGAAAGAGACAGAGAGAAAGAAAAGGCTACCATGTCATATTGCTGGGCAAGGAAAACAAAAAAATGTTCCAGTGTGATTTCTTTCTCTTTCCTAATCATGTAATCTGTCTCCTGAGCCAGGGCGGCAGGGCCTAGGACACTATTTTATGTCCTTCTGTAAAGATGGGGCTGATTCCTGTTCCCTGCCGCTAGAGGATTGTCTACTTAAGGTCGGGGATCAGAAGGGAGGCTGCTGAATTTGCTGTCTCAGTTTTGTACCATTAAAAAGAATAAAAACCATGCATTTTTATCTGTTCCTGCTGAATGTTACCCCCTGCCCATGCCCTGTGCTTGATGGGATGCAGCGCCTGGGTCTCCTGTAGGCTCCAGGTTACGGTTGCGTTTGGCTAAAGGGAACCAGGAGCAGAAGATCAGGTAGGGAGGAGAGAACCTTCAGGAAACCTCTGCCCCTTGTTCCTCCCTATGGTCTGCTCAGAGCTGCATTTCCCTGCTCTAGGCCACAGGCCCAACAGGATGGCATCTCTGTCAGCTCTCCCAGTTTCTAGTAACTGCTCCCTCCCTGTACCTTCAGGCCTAGGAAGGTAACAGCTTTTCAGGGCTCCCCCATCACATTTTTTAAAAATCATCCCCTTGTAGAGAGCCACTGAAGCTGGAGATTAATCATATGTGTGGGGCTCAAGCAAGGCCAGCCCTGAAAACACAGAGAGCCCCAAAACAGCTATGCTTACCCTTTTCCAGCACCAAGAAAGCAAAGGTCCCAGGCCAGCTGGGCAAACAAGTTGCTAGGCAGTGGGGCTGAAATTGACATCCTCTTTCTAAGTGTATAAATAAAGGTGCTACAGTGGTGGAGCAGTTCCTTCAGGAGAGTAAGGGCTCCAGCTTTTTTCTCTTCTTTATTTTCTCATCCTTTCACAGTCCTTCACTCCCAAAACCTCAATCTTTTTTCTTTTGGTAGCGGCAATTGAACTCACTACATCGTGCTTGCCAGGCAGGTGGTTATGCTGCTGAGCTAAATCCCTGGCCTCGACTCTGTAGATTTCTCAAAATTAAAAACATTGGTCACAGAATTCAACCACTACAATTGACCTTTAATAATACATAGTTTTATTACAGGAAATAAAAATATATAACTCAAAAAAATTCTTTACACTTTTTAAAAATCACAAACACTACTTAGAGGGTAGGGAGTAACTTTCTGAAAACAGTAATGCCCGGTACACATTCTTGGTCCATGTATAAAATCAGACTGTAGCTTTTTTGAACTGCTAAAATGATACTTCTTTCCATACAGTATATTTCAGGCGATCAGAATGCTTGGTCAATTTTTATTAAAATGAAATATACTGCAGTCAGGTGATTGAAAGTGTCCATGCGTTCAGTGAGGAAATGCGATGGACATGGATAGAGGCAGAAGCTCATCAGTACCCAAGCGGCAGCAACTCTGCCTTGAAAGAGGCAGCCTTGGAAGCCAGAGTGGAGAAAATCCTGCATTTGCAGAGGAATGCTTCTCCCTCTCGAATGCTCAAGCGCAGGCCCTCCCTAAATTCGGAAAACCATTAGATTTGGCTTAAGCTAAGTGAAATAAACAAACCTTGGCTTAAGTGAGAGCTAATTGTCCTCTTCTGCCTTTCAAAGTCATCAAATACTAAAACAGTATGTGTTGTGTTTCTCTGAGTTCAACTCAGAGGGGACTTGACACAAGCCCCAGCCCGCTTCAAAGTGCGCCGACATGAGAGCTGGGGAGGCCAAGAGCAGAGCTGAGCTATGCCGAGAATGTAGTGATGTGGATGAGTCTCGTCCTCTCTGATTTGACCCTGCCGGCATGGAGGTCTGGGGACAGACAGTGCTGTTTCTAGAACTTTAGTCTGGCTCTAGGTTCCCATCGGCCTAGAACACTTTGGCAGCCAGACCTTCTGCAGGTTTTCTACAGCTTTTAAGCATACCTAGTTCCCTACCAGATCTTTGGAGACTCGAGGCCACAATTTAGCACCAGACTGTCCCTGTTCTTTCTCAGAAAAGATAGCAAAGCCATAATGAACCACCTAGGAGCAACTTAGCTTAGCACAGACTTCTGGAGTCCATCTAGGGTGCTTAAAATGAAGGCTGGCATTCTGTGGTGAAAATTCACTACATTTTTTCTCTCCTTTTGAATTTCATAGACTGTTGGAGGCAAATAATAATATCTAGGTCTTCTTTTAAACACAATGTACTTTTTTAATGTACTACGGTAAACATCATGTCTCTTATTTACCATGAAATCGATAATCTTTACATGTACAGCTGAAGTGAGAGGCTTTTTACATAGGAAATTGTTGTGTATCTCACGTAAGTTACCTTTAAAGTACCATTAATGTAAGTGACTGGCTATTACATAGGATTTTTACATTCAATTTCTTCTATGTACATATTGACGCAAATGAAATAAGGTATAATTATTGAACATAGTACATGGCATAAGAACACACAAGGAAACAAATTCTAGAAATCTGCTAGTTCTTAATGGCTTAAATTCTTCTATTTGAGGTTCCCATGGTAAATCTTGTTTCTACTTATGATATTATGTCCAGATTTTTTTTTTTTTAATTCTCAGGCATTATTCTGGAATTTAGGGGGCAGTGAGTAGGGTGAAGGATTGTGGTTAACATTTTCATTCTGAGATTTAAAGTCATCTGATAAATGGAATCAATCTTCCAGATTCAAAGTAACTTCAGAATTTTATGTTTAGGAATTACCCATGGGCCTAGTTAGTCTTGTTCAGATAATTTTTTAACACTAGATTGCTTGGCAGATAGCGAAGATTTATTTTTCTGTCTAGATTTTAAGTTAAATTTTGCCTGCTTGTTAAAAAGAATTGTGCAGCTGCAGACCATTTACTCAAAAAATAAGTGCTGATTTGACATAGATTACCTGGGTCAAAATACCATGATATCCAGATTGGTCTGGAGTGCTCTTCTGGTTTGATAACTACGTATAGGAAGTAGTTTTAAGTAAATAATTCAGTGAGACTTTGGAAAGCACTAACATGCTCTCTTTTTAAATAACACTCATAATTATGCTCTGCAAAATATAATGCAGTTCTACTATTTTAAAGATCATGCTGGAAGCCTGAACACCAATAGAAAAACTTCCAGGGCCAAGTACTCAGTGACTATTTTATAATGGCATGTACAATGCAGTCATATTTTAAAAACCTGCCAAATTAGGCTGGCAGTTTGGCTTGGTGGTAGAGCTCTTGTTTAGCTGTGGTAGGTCCTAGGTTCATCTTACAAAAAGAAACAAAATAAAATCAAAACCAAAACCAGAATGCTGGTCGCATTAACTCTAACATTTTTGTTTTTAATCTTACTTAAAAGACACTACATCTGCATGAATTATACAATGTTATTTGGGAGACTTCATCCAGTATTCCATGTTTAAATTTTGTTTGATGGTTTCTTTTGTGACATTTCATGTGAGTTTACACAGTAACCATGATTAAACTGTGTAAATTTGCTGAAATATTTTGGTGCTGAGTTTACACTATGCCAAACATTTAGAAATATACTAAGATATGACTCATTGTTACGTGATTTCTTATATAGTATGACTCAAACCAAGTTCCCTAAATAAAAACACAGACAGATGAATTTTGCTGTAATAATCAGCTTTAAAAGTGTATTTTAGGAAGAACCTTAGATCAGCTCAGAAGAGCTCTAGAACATATGAAGAATGGACTAAAAGCTTCAGTGTTCAATGCTAATACTTGGCTTCAGATAGCCAGACACATCCTCCTCCGGAAATAGAATGTAGAGCATTCATCAGAATTAACAGTCTTAACAACCATTTCATTATTTCTTGTTGAGAAGAAACTTCCTACAATCTTCTTGATTAATGTTAGTAATATTAGATGGATCTTATGAAATAAATAACTGGCAATTGGACACAGAATTCCTAAAGGTCAGGTGTAACAAACTGATGCTAACCAATGAAGTCTGGCCTGGTAAGAATAATACAGCGACCAGAGTACCCACATCTACAAACGTCAGAGTAAAAAGTACCAATGACTTTTGACATCACTGTCCAAACAAAGGGCTCATTAAGCAATCACAAGGCAGCTTGCCTGGCTTGGGTGCTTCTGCATTTTGACTTCCGAGAAAAACACATGAAGTTTCACTTCATCTGACTCTACATTATTCGTATACATCTAGCACAGACATTTAACATAGAAAAGACAGTAACTCCACAGGGGTTTTAACAAAGTACACACCACATGCTATGACATTCGACGGGGAAGCTCCCATCAAAACCCAGTGGATCTTAACGGCTGGCTGTTCCTCCCACACCACATGTGTGGGAGCTCCGTGAGGGGAGGTTTTATAGACACCGCTGCCACCTGCTACGAAGTGTCCTGTCAGCATGCCTGTAATCCGAATCACTGCTGACATACTTTTTACTCTGTTTTATTAGGGTGGTTTCACTCTGTTTATGTGCTAGCCTTTTCCATTTCTCCAAGGAGCCATTTCCAAAGGATCCCCCAAGATGCAGCATAGCACAGCATGTCCTCATGACTGTCCACAGAGGTCAGCCTGCTTACTGGCGTTGGACTGTGAAGAACAGGAAATCTGTGTTGTATCTTGTGTCCTTAATGGAGTCCGACAACACAGGACGGAACGCACGAGTCTCAGAACAGGAGGCCTGAGGATGACAAAGACCCAAGGGTCAATTATTGAATTAATTGATAAAAATCTAAGAGCTTGGAGGTCCCATTTTTTCTTTCGGGAATAAGTTTCATTCATATATGCAAAGATCTGTAAAAAGTAAAGGAGAGAAACGAAGTTAGTTTACACCGTAGCAATGGACAGGCTTACATCTTATGCTAGTTCCCACAATCTAACCGTGTCCTTGGTTTAGCAGTGGTGGTGAAGAGGGTGGGTAGTGAAACCTCATCCTTCTTCCATACGTAACTCATAACATAATGAATGCATTTTTCCCTTGAACTCCAGGAGCGCATGTTTTCTGTGGATTATAATTAACACTGACATCATGCACAACCGTCCTGTTACTGGAAAAATGTCCAATACCAAGTACTCTTTTGAGTGTTTTATATTCTCGATTACAGTGCAAATCATACTTTTCAAACCTGCCAAACTGGGGTCTGGAGTATAGCTCAGTGGTAGAGGTCTTCTGGATGCCTAGAATAAAATCTTTTAAAAATATCAATAGTAGTAGTAACATTACTAATGTGCACTGATCAGTAGCCTAACGTGGGTCATGAATTATACTGGCTACTAAAATTGCTTTATTCCTAGTCCTTACAAAAACTTGGAAGCTTAAGTATTGTCTCCTTTTAAGAGATGAGGCTGCGATCTTTAGGAATGTTGATAACATGTCATGCGCCTCTTTCTTTCCAAATCCCAGATCTGCTGTAATAGTCATAATTCAGCAAGACAGGGCGTGCAGCAGATTATCAACAGAAGGAGCATGAATTCTTGTCATCTGGCTGCTTCAGTTGAATCATAGCTCTTGCAATAGCTTTGGCAACACAGATAAGAAAACTAAGAACTAAGAAAACTAATCTTTGTGCCTCAGTTTCCACATCTGTAAAATCATGATAATAATAACAATAATACCATTTTTACAGGGATGCTGGCAGGATGACAGGAAGATACGTTTTGGCTACTTTCACAGCTCACATGTGATAAGCACTCTGCAATGTTAATTGTTATTATCACCACTTTAGCAATGAAAACATGGAAAAGTTGGGGTTTTCCTGAGTATACAAGGCTGCCTATTGGTCCAGTCAGGACAAAAATCCAACTCTCCTGCTGCCTGTGCACTGCTCATTGAGAAGGGCATCCAGGTCTGTATTAGAGCATAGGTTTGTAGAACCATGTGCTAAGCATCTCTACACTTGTGTCTGTGTTTTACAATTGGTCACCCCGCTTTTTTCTGATTCTTTAGCTATTTGGGGAGCAAAAAGACATTTTGATCAGATTGCAAGGGATGGAACCATATGACTTGGTAAAGAGAGAACATTTCCATAGTTTATAGAAGGGAAGGAAACTAATGTGGATTGGACCTTGTCATTAGGCTTTGGAGACCCTCTGACCTGTGATAGATGGTACCCTCTGACTTAGGGCACCATCCTCTCCCTCCCCAACAAAAGAAACAACGGTTCATTTTCTTTTTCCCTGGTACTTACTCTGCGGGCATCTGAGAACTGGACGTACCAAGCAAATTGCAGGGAGAGGAAAGTGTAGTCCTCTTTGCATTGCTTATGTTAGGACAATAGCAGAAAGGTTTGGCAGCCAGAGGTGTTTATGCCAGAGAATCTTGGCATAGGGAGTGGAGAAAAGATTTGGCAAGAGAGCAAGGAAAAAGAAGAACTGATAGTGTGTTTCCCAGATCACAGAGAAAAGAAAACAGGCGGGGGATACACAATGGAGCACTAGTTTTCTTGTCAATTAAACCACTTTAGATGTAAAATACACAGTATAGTGTATTAAAGAGGTGATTCTGGAGGTTAGAAATTCAGGATTAACTGTGCATATAAATCTGCTGGATTAAAATATATTAATTGGTAATGCACGTGTACGTGCATAGATAACACTTTATTATAGGGAAACCTGGAGCTGACTTTGTGCTTAGTTTGAGCAGAGAACTTGCTAAGGCTGAGTCGTCAGCGAGACTCGGTTAAGGCTTGGTGTCTGCTCCTGGAGCTTCCACTCTGCTGATGAGTTAGGTTTTCGGTGAAAAACCTTCCTCACGGTTCCTGATGGCTTCAGAGCGTGTCAGGGTAATGAGAAGTGAAAGATACTTCTAGAGAATGAAGCAATTCTGTACTCTTTCCTTTTCATCCACTACAAAGGGCAATTTTTAGAACTGCTTAGAATATGCATTTCAGGACGTAGCAATTTCTTCAGTTTTGAGCCTTGAAGTCCTGGAGGTAAGCTTTGTCTTCAGCCTCCCCATTCCTCCCTTCTTTTTTTTTTTTTTTTTTTTTTAAACTTGAGTTTAGCACTTTTGGAGTTTGTTTTCCAACTGTGCTAGAATCTACATAACATAAAACTTACCACTGTAGCTATTTTCAAGTGTACAATTTGGTGGCATTAAGTATATTCTGGTTACTATCAAATTATATTATTTATATATTTTTTAATTTTTCGGTATATATTGATGTTTTAGGTGGTTCCTCTGTCCCCCCACCCCCCACTTTTTCTTTTTGGGGACAGTCTCCCAATGCAGTTCAGGCTGACCTTGAAATCACTATGTGACTGAGGCTGGCCTCAAACTCAGAGACCCTCCTGACTCGCTTTCCTGAGTGCTGGGCTTACAGGAGAGAACCCCACACCTGACCCCATAGCGATGTTTTGACAGATGAAAGCTCTCCATGGCTGGGGAGAGACTGCCACTCCTTGGGCTAGCTGAGTCTTAGAGGCAATGGAGGACTGGGCAGGGAGAGTTTCTGAAACACTGTAGCACTAACCAAACCAGAAATAGGCTGTACACCAGAAGCTAACATCCCAGGGTCAGGACCTGCAATAGGACCTAACTCCCCTGGGGCTTAGAGCCTGCTGAAGTTGGTCCAGACAGCCTATCCTGAGCTGTCCATGCCAGCGGGGGGCTATGGCCGGGCTCTCCCCTTCCTCTGGGCTCTTCTGTCTGCCTCACTCTGGTACTTGCCTACCTGGCCCGCAAGAGCCCTGCCTTGTTTCCCTGGAGCCTCTCCCAATCCCCCTTTGCAAACACTGGACCCGCTGTGACAAGAAAGAACATCAAGCAACAATGGCTGGCCACCGTCTGTCTCTAAATGGAAACTGAGCCTGGGACTCAGTGGCCGCACATTCCCTCTCCCTGAGAGTCTAGCTGTTTCTGGGGTGTTAATGAAACCATGGGGCCTGGGCGATGAAGGAATGCTGTGTCGGATTCTGAGTCTGGTGGAATCTGTGTGCTTTTTGTGTATACATCCAATGTGTTCACCATGAGAAAAGTACCAACAGCTAACCTAAAGGAGCCAAGTGCATTTTCATTCTTTAGGGCAGGCCCTCTCTACAGGGCTTTCAAAGAGCAGGGAGCTTGTGACACTCACAAAGCAGCACGGACGGGAACTGGTGCTACTTTAGGGCTGTCTCTGGCAGCTTCCGTGGAATACTTCATCTGGGCACTGCCCAGGGGCTGTTTATTTAAACTACTTTCCTATCTTTAATGATGTTACAAAGTGGGTTCAGAAATTTAGAGTAAATGAGGATGGTATTTGACTGACCATTGAAATCATCTAGGGAGTTTTAAAACATTCCGCTGTCTTTCTTTTCCTCCCTTAGCCACTTGGACGCATTTAGTCTGAGTTAAGTGACGGCTCTAGGGTTTTCATACCCTCCTGATCTTCCGACCACTGTAGGGCTAATGCTAACACTGATGCACACTAAGGTTAAGGACCACAGCTTCAGAATGTTACCTAAAACCTGATTACAAAACCTGAAATGCTTTTCACATTTATCTCACTTAAAAACCCCAAGACCAACTTAGGGCTGATCAATCAAAATAATGAGCTTCTAGATTCAGTTCTTGCTTATTAACATACAGTCTGATTTTCTTCTGGAAATTTCATCCCACAGAGATAGCAGCTAACCCTAAGAGAGAGCATTATCACTGAATATGACATGGTACACAGCCAACTGAAAAGTCTAATTTTGTTTAAGCCTTACATAAACCTTCTAAGTCTTATTATTCCCATTTTAGGAGCAGGAAACTAAGATCACACTCTAGGCCAGTCGGGAAACCATGAAGTCAAACTGAAGCAGTGGGAAACCAAATTCGCTTTTAGCCCCTCCACACTCACTGCCATTGATGTAAAGAGCTTCTGAAATAAAGTTAAATGGCAGACTTTCCGGTTTTCAGGGGACTTCCCTTCAAAGATGTCGTGAAGGCTGCTGGCTATCAATATTCCTGTTTATAGTTCAAAAACCTCTCTCTTTCCAAGCAGCTGTTTGGCTTTCTTGGAGGCTTCTTTTTCCTTTATTTTTATCCACAGCTGACGTGTAGGCACTGCTTGTAATTGTGTTTCTCTGCCTTCTGGAAGACAGTAGGGTGTCTTGGACTATAGGTTTGGTACAATTAATTCTTTGTAAATTTTTTTGATAGGGGACAGGGAGAAAATTTTCCAGGTATACAATGCTTTAAGGAATTCAGAGCTGAGGATTTAGCTCAGTGGTACAACCACCTGCTTGGCATGTGAGAAGTCATGAGTTCAAGCCCTGGTACTGAAAAAAGAAAGAAAAAGTCCTGTCCGTCACATCCCAAGCGCTTCATGGTGCAGGAAAATGAAGCCTGTTTCCACCAGAAGGAAAACCTGGAGCACAGAGGCGCCTCTGAGATGATCATGACCTTTGTATGGTGCATTTCAGAGCAGAAAAGGGGAGTGAATGCTGAGTCTGAAACTCAGGGCCTACACGATGCCAGATGGCGCCTCTTATCCATTACAGAAATCGGTGCGCAGTTTCCCCGGGACTTCCCCAACACAACATTTTGCAAATGATTTCAGAGAGATCCAAGTGCTGTCCACACAGCAGGAGATAAGAACGCTGGTCTAGAGGACCTTCAGCCTTCCCTAGATGAAATCTGCCTTCTCCTTGGCCCTTCCCATCAAACATATGTCCCAATTTTAGGGGACTGAAAGTCCATTTTTAGTTTGAGGTCATTTTAGGCAACAAAATGCTATCAGAAAAATAGAGATTTGTATACCTTGATGATATGAGTGCTCAAGATCCAGATGGGGAGTGGTGGTCAGACACTTTGAAAGAGAGGACAGGAGAAGTCAAGAGAGCACACCGCACTGAGATTAACTGGGTCTTAAGGCTCTGGCTGGAAAGAGATGTGCTAATGACATTCTCGAAGCACTGTATCTAACCACTGTATCTAATCTATCTCTTAAAAATCAAACAAACAATGATTGACTTCTGACATGTCAAAAGGCTTTTTTTCTGTAAACCACATACCTGCCCTAAACTATCTGAAATAGCAGTGAGAATATCCCTGACCACGGGATAAACCAAATGCACAAATTCTCTTTTGGAAAAAGGAATGCAGCTCTTGCTATCTAAATTTTAATTGTGCCTTGATTTATAATCCCCACTGCTCAGTGTCAAATGGTGAAAGAAAGGATGTCAAACTGAAAATAAGCATATAGAGGAACTTTCTCTTAAAAGGTAATGTATATGCAAAACGTCTCAACAATCCCTAAGCACAACCTTAATATGCCTGAATGATAAAGGACCTTCTAGTTAGTTGCTTGAGGGCATCCTTTTAAAGTACCAGGCAAAGTTCATAGTGGTTATGCACAGAAATCCCTATCTGAATTGTTGTCCTATGTAATGGGCCTACTTCAGACCAGCTTTTTCTTTCTTCCTTTCTTTCTCTTTTTCTATCAGTACCAGAGATCGAACTCACTACCACGCACTTGCAAGGCAGGCACTTATGCCACTGAGCTAAATCCCCAGCCCCTACAGACCAGCTTTTCAACCTGCCCTGGTATCACCTTTTACATAAATACCTGGAATAACAGGAAACTCTGGTATTGTTTTACTTGCATTTATTCTGTACTTGCAAGGATCAGATTTCCACTAATCAGATTTACCTAGAAATTATAACCGTAAAGAATTTGTAAAGATGAAGACATTTTTAGAATGAGTCAATGGTTCCCTTATGAAATTTTAGAACTGAGTAAGAAGCATGAGCACTTTATCGTAATGGCATGTGAAAAAGGGTTTAAAATGAACAGAAACCATCCACAATCAGCAAAGTGGTAAGAGAATGGGTCGGAAATTAAGAAACAAACATTATTTGAGACAAGAACAGAGGTCTCATGTTTCCTCTGCTGTTCCATTGCAGGAAGAAAAAAGTTTCTATTTGTCATTGTGAAATGTTGACAACTGCTGATTAACATAAGGAGGAATTTATTAATTTATACAAAAGTCCTTTAATGGATAAACAGTTTGGAATATGTTGTTGGTCTCATGCATGATTTCATATTGGAGAGCCAAAATAATGTCCTTTTCCAAACACTACGTACTTTTTTTTAAGTCACTGAAGAAATGTTTTATGAGTACCAATGGAAGGTTTTGTGTGAGGGACAATCTGATTGTTTCTTAATTTAGATTACCATTTACATGAGCCAATCTCTTAAAATCTCAGTCTCAGACATTTATTTTATAGGTCTGTGGAGAGCAAAAAGGAAACTCTATACTTTGACACAGCTTAGCTCCCTTGAGCTGACCAGTAGTAAAAGGTCCTTGCCCTTGTAGTTTTAAAGTTAACAAGCTGAAATTAAAATGCACAGTAATTTATTTAGTCCAGGAATAGAGGTTTTGTGCATGCTAAGCAAGCTTTCTACCACTGAGCTACACTTACAGCCCCCAGATACTTATAGTGTCTTCATATTTCTCTTATAAAACTGTGGGTTCATCTTCTCTTATGTTACTCCTGAACCGAGTACCTTCTCATTAAGGTACTGTAATTGGTGCACAGTCAGTGTACCGCAGTGCTTCCTGCCAGGCTTTGAATCCCAGATCCACCCCTCACTAGCTACGGGACCTAGGGGAAGTTATGTCTCATCTGTAACAGGAATCATAGTATTATTTATTTCACAGGTTGTGAAGATAATGAGTTACTATAAAGTAAGTACTCAAAAATCCTAAGGTTTTTTTTGGCATTAATAAAAATGATACATGAGGTTATACGACTTTGTTTCAGGGCTTTTTTTTTTTTTTTTCATTTTGAGAGTTTTACTTTCCAAACTTTGCACTCTTTAGTAGAAGCTATTAATTCCACTTCGCCCAAACCGTAGGGCAATGGCAGAGATTAGTAGTTCTAGGTTTCCTAAATCACCCAGTCTCCTCCAATGCTAGGATGCTGAGGAATAGCCTGGTATCCCACTGGGTACAGATGTGTGCACACCCCTTGCTGGTCAGTGGTTTGGTCCACTTATGATGGACACAGAAAGCAATGCTTGTTATTCTGAGGAACGAGTGGTAGACCTAGGGTACTTTATTACTATTTTCTGTATTTTATGGTATATAAAGAAGAAAATTAGCTGGACTAGCTCAAGTAGTTTTACACGGATCGCTTATTTGAATTGATTTTTTTTTACACTGGGTTAACTACAATATGTAATTAGTTTATCTGTTTCTTTTTACTTTTTGTTATGTGGCTTCCAGAAAAATTTTAAATTTCCTATGTGGCTCACATTGTATTTCTGTTGGACTGTGTGCCCTGTGTTGGGGAAACAGGAGAATTAGGTCAGTCGGAACCCTCTATTTGTCTTCCCGTGCCTCTGGTTAGGACCTATGTAAATGATTCCTATCTGGGTGGGAGATTGGTGTAGACCATTTATGACCACAATATTAGGTAGCTCAAGTAGAACAAAAGGGCTTGGGGGTGAAAGCACCCTTTGGGGAAAAAGTCACACATTCTACAATAGAATGAGTGAACTAAATCATAGCTATAAATTTTGTATGCTTCCTCAAGTGTGAAGTGTTACACAAGGGAAAGATGCTAGCAGTTATTACCAATGACCTACTAATAAACTAAAACTAGTCAGTGGCCAAGGCAGATTTCCTTATGAAGAACTGATTTCAACCTTCTCTTTTGTGCCTACTGGATTATCTGTAGTTCATCTGGCTGTGGTGTCATGATAGTTGAAAGACAAGAAATCAGCTTGGCTGGCTTCCTGATTTTGTTCATATGAGGATTTTCTTTGCTCCTTGGGAATCTTTGCAATGAATACATACAGAAGCAAACACTGGAAGTGAACCCCCTAAACTTCATCTAGACCCTCAAACCATGAACAGGCAACCTAAATAAAAACAGTTTCAGAGCAAACTTCCTCATCTCCTTCTCCCCTTTCTACTCAGACATCTGGCTCTAAGCCCTCTCTTTTGGGCAACTCTGGAGCTACATCCAGGCCTCATATTAATGAAGGTCTAAATATATCAAGTATGTTATATTTAAAAATCAACCTATGGCAATGATGGAGTCCACTGTTATAGGCAATATTTACTTGGAACCATGGGAACCTGTTGAACACTCGCCCTTTATTTGTAAGCCTATGGTTTATGCAGTGGGGAGACGTGGGAGGGACCTTTCCTTCCTGCTTGCCTCCTCTAAATGGCTAGGAAGGGGGATAACAATCCTTTTTACAAGAGTGCCATCACCCTTGAGCCCATTTACATAGCTGTAAGTGGGGCATGTTTTCATATACTCATTCAAAAGTGGCAGATAAAACTCCCAAGAGCTGACACCCTAGCTCCCACCAGCCTGACAGGCCCTCCTCCCTTTTGGCCTGTTTATGTCCCTCACGCTGCATTCTGTTGTTTAAGGAACCTGAACTGCTTTCTTTCATAATCTTCTCCATCCTGGTCCTAACCCCAAAAGCTGCCTTAGGCGCTGACATAATTAAAAATGCTGGCTGTAAAACAAGAAGCACAGAAACCCTGGTGGTTTCTGCATCGAAGTGTTTCTTCTCTACAACAAACTCCACCGCTGGGATGGAGGAGGAGGTATCACTTCCCACAGGGTCCTGGTTCATTACGGAGAGGGTGCCTTTGACAAACTCCCTCTCATCCCCACTAAATGTAACTTGTGGATTCAGAGCAGCTTCTGCCCTGATGGAGGCTGGGGTAGAAAAGAGAGGGCACTGGGGACTCCGGCAAATAGAACACAGCTGCGGGGTCACATCTGGACTATTAGGACCATGCTCCTTTGCCGTTGAGGATGGCAGTAGAGGCTAACCAGAGGAAGCAGCCAGGGGGCCGAGATAGTTACAAGGACAGGCGTGCTGCCTTTTCTTGACACACTCCCCGTTTCTAGCACTGTTAGAGGCCCGAACAGCACCAGGCCGGGCTGAGCCTTCAGGAGGCTTGAGCTCAGCACGTGAGAACCGCGGAACTGGTTGCCCACCCAACGCCCTTCAGTTCTCCCTTCGCTGAGATGGAAAAGCTGAGCTTTTAACTTGTAAAGTGCACAGCCACAAAAGGAAGTGCACCTGTGCGTGCATTCCTGACCCTGACACCAGAGGATGTTTCTTAAGAGGTTACAAATGCTTCCTATGAGGACTTGCAGAAGCATAAGGGGGTTCTTCTATGGAACTGTCTCTTCCTCCTTCTCCTCCTCCTCCTTCTCTTCCAAATCCTGAATCTCCATGGCCACAAACAGTAACACTAAAATACATAAATCGGGAACCTGTAAACGAGATGCTTGTTTGAACTTTAAATAGCGATCGCTCTGAACTTCTGCCACAGGCCCCTGCATCTGGGTGCATTTTCAATGGCAGCTGGAATGCTTTATGCGGGAGAAGCAGAAGGCAGAGCAGGGAACAGCAGCAAACTAGCTCAGGGTGGCCACCTTACAACAGTGGCAAACATCCTAGGGTGGCGCGGGCCGCCTCCTCCCGAGCTGCCTCATCCCCCAAGAGTGGAAAGGGACGGTGTACAAGGGCTGTGATCCTAGCGTGGGGGCCGGGCAGGCATTGCAAGAGGCCAAGGCTCCCTTCTGGGGTACACTCGCTTAGCGACGCCCACGTGCCAGGACTGCCGGAGGAAGGAAGTCGGGTGAAGACAGAAGCGAAAAGGGCAAGGCTAGAGACACAGCTTGAAAATGAGGACACACTTTTTCAGTTGCCAAGAGTCTGCTGGGCGGCAGGAAGGGCTGGTGTGAAAGAGCCCGGCAGGCTGCTTGGCGCTGGGCTGCAGATACCGCGGAGGCCCGACTCACCGTGATGGGCAGGGAGCAGACGGCGAAGGTGATGGTCATGATGGCCAGGAGGATGAGGTGGTCCGCCTCCTCCGCCACGGACAGCCGTTCCGCTCTCCTGCGGGACCCCGGGCCGCCGCTCCACGTCGATCCGCAGCGGCTCCGTCTGCCCCGGCGGTGCATACGGACCAGGTTGAAGATGACCCTGAAGTTGCAGGCGAGCACCGCCACGATGAGCAGCAGCAGGATGGTGGCGTAGAGCTGCAGGTAAGCCGTGCGCCTGTGGCTGATGAAGCACCAGGTCCCCGGGCAGTACTGGACGTACTGGCCGTAGCCGAGCAGCGGCAGGGAGCAGAGCAGCAGCGACGCGGCGTAGATGGCCGGGAGCACGGCCAGGCCCCCGCGGCTCGAGAAGCGGCGCTGGTAGAAGTAGGGGTGCCCGATGGCGACGTAGCGCTCCAGGGCCATGGCGAAGAGCATGAGCATCGTGGCCAGGCTGAAGAAGGTCATCGCGAAGGCGAAGTAGGTGCACACGCGGTTGCCGGGCTCCAGCGCCACCAGCGCCTGGTTCCGCGCGTACGAGGCCAGCACCACCGGGCTGATGAGGCAGGTCCCGAGCAGGTCGGTGAACACCAGCTCCGTCACCAGCACGTAGAACAGGGACACGGAGCCGCGGCCGCCCGCGCCGCGCCCCGAGTCCCCCCGCCAGCGGCGGGCCAGCAGCCCCAGCGCGATGAGGTTCCCCAGCACCCCCGCCGAGAACATCGCCGCGCTGATGGCCGGGCTCTCGCCCGCGGGGAGCCACTGTCGGCTCTCGCAGTCCCCGGGCCCGGAGTCATTGGAGGCGTTGCCCATGGCGGGGTGCGTGTCGGACGGGCGCGCCCTCCGGGCCCGGACAGCACCGGGGAGGACCAGGGTGTGCGCGTCCCAGCGCCCCGAGGCCCAGCGGGGAGTGGGGAGGGACCGCGACCCACAGCCCCCGGCACGCGCTCCGGGCAGCCGCGCTCCAGGGTCCCCGCCGCGCGCTCAGTGGCCGTGCGGTGCCGCATCCGGTCGCCCTCGAGGCTCCTGCGTCCGCCTGGCCCGGACCTTCGGCCCCAGACGTGGCCGCCCCGCCCCCGCCCCGCGCCGCCCTGGGGCGGACCCGGGAGGGGCGTCGGCGCCCGGCAGAGCCCGCGCAGCAAGCCGGAGCCTGCAGGCGCGGCCGGGGCAGCGGGGCCGTGCGGGTCCTGGGCTCGCGGATGCGGGAGAGCGGAGCCCCGGCCCGGCGGGGGAGTGTGGGGCCGGGCCAGTCCAGGGAGGGTGGCAGGGCTGCGCGCCCTTTTGGGGCGTAGGCGGAACGCACTGAGGATCCGGGCGACAGCAAAACAGAGCGCTCAGCACACTGGGGAGAGGTCAGAGGAGCCAGGCCTGGGAGACGTCAAGAACCAAGCATCGCTGATAGGGAGACCGTGTGCCCTCTGCGGAGTGCGTGTGGCATTCCGAGGTGACAGGGCAGGACACGCTGGGAGGAAGTGAGAAGGCCACCCAAGGAACCAAACACGCAGGCCACAGCCTCTCAGATTAGGTTGCCAGCCTTTGACCTTTTCCTGTGTCGACACCCTAACGCATGAGCACTTGTGTAAGCAACCTTTAAAAAAAAGAGAAAAAGTTCATGTAATTGAATAGAACTGTGCTTGTGCTCACAGCTTGAACACTTCATCGCTCTCTCCTCAAGTCAGTCTTTAAAAAAAAAAACAAATCCGGTGGTTCACTAGTCCCTTGGGCCTTCATGTCTGCAAGCTGGGTTAAGCATGCAGGGTCCATTGGACTGACTCGCTCTGGATAGTGCAGGGTAACGGGCTAGTTTCAAAATGGAGCTGCGGAAAAGGGGGAAAAAAAAAAGAAATTGCTTGTCAGCAACTGTCATGATTGTGGAGTTGCGAAAATGTGCTAAGTGAAGCAAAACTAAAAATTCAGTTTGAGTCCGGTGTGGTGTCACACGCCTGTAATACCAGCATTGGAGAGGCTGAGGCAGGAGTATGGCGGTGAGTTCAAAGCCACCCTGAGCTGCATAGTGAATTTAAGTTCAGGTCGAATTGCCTAGCAAGACCATCTCAAAATAAATAAATAAATAAAAACTAGTTTGACAGACAGTGTGGATAATTTCCATATCAAATATCAATTGTATTCTCTTGGGCTCTTATTCACTTCTTAATCTCCACCCACTGGCCTCTGTAGGTTGGAAGGATTTGCACAAGGAGCTGACAAGCAAAGAAGCCATAGTATTGAAGGAAAAGAAAGGCTTTGAGCACACTTTGGTACTGTGCTGGGTCCCACCTGGGCACAGTGTGCTTTCTCCACGTGACTGATTCAGCCCATCTTGATGAAGGCCTGGAGACTTAAGTATAGGGCAGGTGCCCAGGAAGAAGGGCGAGCATGGTGCCCCAGATCCTTTGCACAGCCTGCAGGATGGTTTTCACAGACCAGCAACCCCTTCTTCCAACCCTAAGAGTTGCAGGGAAGGCTATCCTAACCCTTGCAGTTTCCTTTGTAAATGCCAGGTCAGTAACATCATCAGTTTTTACGAATCCTTGCTGATGACTCCCCTATCCCAACCTCACCCCATCCAACCCCAAGCAATGTGGAAGCTCCATAGGGTTTGGGAGTGTTTCTCAACAGAGAAACACTATGAATCTGCCTTACAACACAGTTCCTGCACTGTGGTTTACTACTAAATAAAGGTGGTTTTTTTTTTTTTTTGAGTCATGAAATTTCACTGTGCTTACTTTTCAAGTGTTTTCATACGTTTGCTATTTTCATAAATCCCCTTTATCACAAAGGGAGAGTGACTCTTCCCTGTGTATTTGTCTCCAGCTTTCCTTTGGATGGGTATTTGGTGCCCCTGGCTTTAATGGGTACCTGAGCAAGGCTGTAACTGCAGATTTACGCCCACACTGTCTTTCCCTTTTCTTCCTAATTTCCATCTCTGACTTCGTCCGGCACTGTGAGAACACTTGAGCAGAGGTGTGTGGACAGCTAATTCCTAGTGTCCAAGATCTGTATACATCCCTTCCCCAAAGCCACTGGACCCAGGGTAGCCCGAGTAAAGCAGATAGCCCTGCTCCATGTGGATGGGCTTCTTAGGGTCTCTTCAAGGTCTGGATAGAGCTGAGAAGGTAGAGGAAGAGAATTCTCAGCTTACACCAGGACATTGGTCTTTTTAAATTCTTAATGTTTCTGGTCCTCAGACTGGAGTCTACACCATTGGGTCAACAGCTCTGAGACCCCTTGACTTTACCAGTGGACTTGCCTACAGTCATGCACCATTTCCTATCAGAGTGCTGAAAAATGCCACGTGCTTCACAGATCTGCAGAGGCGCTTGGCTTAGCACTTGAAGAAGCCCAAGGAGAATATGTGGCGGGAGCTGGAGGAACTGCAAGACTGTGTGCTGCCACATGCAGCAGGTAAGTGACAGTGCGTGAGGGCCACCAGTGTGCACAGATGTCATGGGTGCTGGTTCACCACTGCCTATTAGAGTTCAGACAGTGTGAACCTGGGGACCAATGCTAACCTGGAACTGCACAGGACTGATGGGTAGGTTTGTGGTGGGGCAAACACTTCTCTTCCAGAAGACTAATTTATGATTCTTAGGCATGTGTAAATACGTTTTTTTTCAAGTCAAGTTCTAAGGACAGCATCTGAGTCCTGTAATATCCTAGACAAGATTTATAGCACTTCATTGCAAAAAACAGAAGTCATTTAAAAATGGAAAGAGGCTTTCTTGAAAGTGCACAGTGATGGTGCTCTGCTCACAGATCTTTATTTTCTCACCTAGGAAGTTTCTAGGTTTTGTGCTGGTGGAGCTAGCTACCAGGACTATGGCTGTTTCTGCCATCTGCTCCTGTTGTTCTTTAGGTGCTAGCTTTCTGTCTCCATGCTCACCCCCATGAAATCACCAGCTGCGTCATGACTATCAGGATTCAATCTGAGGAAGAGGACCGCTCTGAGTGATGAATGATGTAGAATTTATTATTAGGCAGTAGGCCTGTATTGCTACTAAACTAGCTACTAGCCACATGTCACTATCTAAATTTATTTATTTATTTTATTTTTTGTCTTTCTCCTTTTTTATCAGTACCAGGGATCGAACTCATGACTCCCTGCTTGCAAGGCAGGTGCTTATGCCGCTGAGCTAAATTCCCAGCCCCTAAATTTAAATGAATTAAAATTAAAGACTTGGTTTCTCACTTGCACTAGGTACACGTCAAGTGGTCAGCAGCCATGTGTGATTAGTAGCTGTCCTGCTGGGTGGCTTATGTGGACACCACTTCTAGCATCACAGATGTTTTATTGGACAGGGCAGTTTTGGGTCTGTAGAAGGCTATTTGTTCTCTTTGGTTCTTTTGTAGAGCCTGAAGTTTACTATAGTTCAGCCAGACGGGCAGTTGGGGTAGAAAGCTGTTCTTGGATGAGAGCAAAAGAAGTCTACAATGTGCGAAGACAAATTGGAATTCTCAAGTGACCAAAATCTTTGAAGGCGGACTGGATCTGCATGTGTTCTACTACCTCAGGCCTCAGCAGTGTGGGTGTCCTGCAGGGGAAGCTGGCACACTTCATGGATTGGCGGAGGCACTTGGCTTAGGACTTGACGAAGCTAAAGAAGAAATAACAAGAGCTGGAGGAGCTGCAAGCCTGAGTGCTGCTCCATGCAGCAAGGTGAGCCAGCAGCAGCTCAGTGACAGTGTGTGAGCTGCAAACATGCCCAAACCCTTGCAGGATCCTTTGCAGCATGAACGGCATGGGTGTTGCTTCCCCAGCACCTTTCAGAGCTCATGCAACATGGTCCTCATGCAACTAGTGTTAGCCTGTGACTATTCAAGGATTCTGGGCGCTGAGCGGATTCTGCCTTGCTGGGATGTTGCCCACAAAGCCTCTACCCAGCTCCCCAGGAGTCCAGCCATCAAGTCCACCCTGGAGACAGGAACCAGAGAGAGACAAAACCAGTCAGCTAGCTCTCTTGTACCTGTTTATTTAAGCTGGAAAGCAAAAGGCTTCTGAGAAGCACCCCAAGAGACTTCCTTTTATGTCTCATTGACCTGAATTTGACAACATTGCCACCCCTTAATTCCAAACGAGGTTGACAAAAGAGGACTTGAGGTTTTCCAACTTCTGGAAGCTAGAAAGTGTAGAGGCAGACAAAGGAGCAGGGACTGGCAATGGCTGAGGAGTTAGTCAGCCTACAGTTGACCACTGCAAATATTCATAATGCATTTCCCAACACCGTCCTTCCTTGAGCTGGCAGTGAAGTGGAAGAACATCTGGTTCCAATCACCTTTACTGTTATGTGATGGGAGTGGGGTCTGGAAGGGGAAGTGGGTTAGCATGGCAGTGTTACGGACTCACAGAGTTAATGCAATGTATCTCGGCATGTGGCAGCCAGACCATCTTATCTGATTCCATGTCCCCATATATTACACACACTCTCTAGAAAGAAGCATATGACAAGATTCCTGCCTTCTGCAGTAGAACTTGGGAAAATTACTGGACAAAACATAAATGTTGCTTTTTATTTTGATGGATTGGGAAAAGTTTAAAGAGACTGCACAAGTCTAGGATGGACAAGGATAAAGAGAAATGGGCTCACTGTTGGTGACAGTTGAATGGGTGACTTCTGCCTGCTGGGAAATTTTTATTACTTACTAAAAATGCTTCAGCCTAAAACATGCTTCAGCCTAAAACAATATGCATAGAAATGTACTGCCTTAGGAAGATGTAATCTGACAAGGTCACCAAGATATACTTGTTTTGGTGTGTGTACAATGGTACACACACGTACACATGCACACACACAGGCATATTATTGCATCGATCTGGAAATAAATGTCCTCCATAGGTGACTGGTTTAATAAATTATGGTACACCAATGAAGTGGAATATGCAGTCATTTAAAAAGATGTGCCTGTATTTACTGCAAATGATCTTTACTACATTCAGTATCAGTACAAAATCATTAATATAAAACTATGCATACACAATTTGCATAGTCTAGAAGGATGTTTAACAAAATATTAATGGTAATTTCTCTGGTGGTATTTTCTTCCCTATACTTGTGTGTTTTGATTACTTTTGCTGTGATTATTACCTTTATATTAGGAAATGCAAGGAATCTGCTTTCTGAGAAATAATTATATTTGGAAGACAAATTCTTTTCTACTTGGTGGAAGGTCAAGGTTTAGATTTAAGATTTTAATTCTCTTCCAGTTCTACTCTGTAACTAGAGGAAAGGTCTTGCCAGTTGTTTAAAGCTGAGCAGGAATAATAGAGATAGTAGCCTTCCATTTTCCACAAGGTTTGGAAACTCATTCTCAGTGGAAGATTTGAATTCATCTCACTTGTAAATACCATTTCTAATAAAAGAATGCTTCACTCAGCTTTAAGCAAATATTTTGATATTGTAAAGGTTTACGTCTCACACTCATAAGTGGGGTTTTGGGGAGGTAATTGGATCATGGAGCTGTGAATTTCCTTAGTGGATTAGTCCACTGATG